AGGAAGCTGTGAGGAAAAGCACACCTCTTACTGTCTTCATCACATTACCATAACTGTAAAAGGACCTCCCTTTAAATAGTCAAGAATGTTCTTTACCCACAAAAATTGTTGGTTCCCTTACTCAAAAAAGGAAAAATGTCTGTCCCCAATTGAAATGCCTTCACTGGGGCACTCTAGATACAACCCCAACCCTCCCTAACTTCGAATTAAATAGCAGCTCTTCTCATCTCTGTATTTGCACTTGGAAACCCTATGTTTCCACAGCTCTGCTACACCCACGAATGAAAGAAAGAACAGAAACATAAAAGGAAAATCTAACAGTTATAAATGAACAGACTATATGACACATTCGGATCAACTGATCTGGGAGTTTCTATGAGATGATATTTATCAACTAGATATGATGACAGAGCTTTAAGTAGAAGAGGGTGATGGCATACACACACAAATGACTGAGGCTATCTATGTTGCAATAGCTCCAGTTCTATAGATTCGTATTCCTTCAAGTTGTTGACTACATTTTGTACTTTCTTTGATAGTTGGTTACTATGCTCCTCAACGATTTTCATAAATGCAGTCAGTTGTTCTTGATATGCTGCACACAGTCGTTTCTTATTCCGCAGCTCAGCAGTTAGTTCTTGAATTTTCTTATCCTTTTCATCCTTCAAAGTTGTATACAGAGAGCACATTGTTAGAAACAATTTGAAAGCAAATATTTGTTTCATATAGATATAGGATCATTTCACATTTTTTGGACAATATCATCCTTATGAGCATCAAACCATAAAAGAAAATAAGCATAATGTGCCTACAAGCATGCCTTTGTATGAAAACTACTGTAGATGCCTGAAAATGAAGCATACCAAAACATTAAAAATGCTCAATTTGTTAAGACATATCCGGGAAAACAGTGGAAAAAGTAAAACCTGTTTATGAGATGAAATATTATATCGCTGAGGAATAGCACGAATGAGCAGTTAATTTATTTGACTCCGTCACAAATCAAGTGGCTCAAGCTTTCAGCTTCAAAACGATGAAACTACAACCAAATGGGGTACTTTTACTACCTAAGATTACTTTGGAAGTATTAAATTCAACTATGCCTAAATTGGGGTAAGCTTCACAAATTTGTTTTTCCCATTCCACTCAGTCAAGGGCATATAATTCGAAAAATTTCAAGAAGCCAAATCATCAGTTATAATTTCAACCCATGACATATTCGGATTCCTCAACCAATTTTTATTTTTTCTACGGGGATCGATTTACTCTTACATAACCAAGTATTGCTATGTCTATGCTGCACAAGAATAAACCATCTAAATTAATCACTCCTCGGTTTATCCTCAACTAGTGCCACCTATACCCTCTCATGAACAACTTCATTTTTATTCTATCTTTTCATATATGAGTAGACATTATCTCAACAGCCTCACTTCAGCTTATACTCATTCAGCGAATGTATTGTCTTCTCATTGCATAATATTTAATACCAAGTATAGATGTTCAACAGAAATATTGCGCAAATGAATGGCGTAGTTTTATCCTCAGAAGACATCAAAGTAAAAAATCAAGTTTCTGGCAGCATTTATAGAATTTCTCAATCAATGCAAATAGATATTAAAGGCAAGCATAAATGCACAGAAGAGAAGTATGGAGAATTTGGGTCTAAGGATGAATCTTAGTTGAGCTTTGCCAGTCCAAGCTTGAAAGTTATTGTAGTTCTTAGATTTTTCCTAGTTCACGCTTATTGAATGTTTCGTTGCCCCATATTAATGAAGTTATCACCTGTCAAGTTAAGATCAAAATAAGAAATAGAAAGTCCAGCAACCCAGGGCCCCATTGATACCACTCCCAGCTCGTCAATAAGACAACCACAACACCTATAACTTGCAGGAGAGCTGAGAAGAGGCTGCAGGCGCTTTCTTGTTTCTTCTACAAGTTATAGCTGACATACCCTCTTCACCCAACGCTGGTATAGTCCTCGTATTAATGTGGTTATTAGTATAATGTTTGAGTGCAGTTTCCATTTTCACCCAAAGCTGGTATAGTCCTCATAGCAGATGAACATGCAAACTACACCTCTTCATTTTGCTAAAATCTCTTTTAAAGTAAACAAACCCACAGGCTGCTTCCCTCTTTCCTTCTTCAATTACGCAGCTCTCAGTCTAGTAGTAAAATAAACTATTGAAAGTAAAAAAATTCTACTCTTGTAGAGACATAAAATACTTTAATATTAATCCCAAATACTTTTCAAAAATCCATAGGTTTCATGCCATCTAAAGGAACATGATACCCTGTTCCTAAACACCTTATTATATCATTACATCTTCATCCAGTCGCTTTTGTTCTGCTTAAAGAGCATTTATACCATATCATTTACATAGCACTAGAAAAACATGATACTAGAATATAGATAAAGATTACAGGGAAAAACTTGTTTTCTTACAAACAAAGGCAAATTTAAGTCTGAAGAGAAGACATTACTCCATAAAACCTTGAAAATTAGATAAACCAGAAAGAAAGTAAAACTAGAAACTTTAACCAAAGTTTTGGACAGTAAGAATGGAAACTACACAGAAGATTATAGTTTCAAAGAAGAGGAAAAGGAGGGAAGCAAGGTGACCAACTCACCATTGTTTGACGAGCCTCACGTGGAGCGACTACAAGTGGATGATTATGGTCCTTTACAAATCTCGTTATCACCCACTTTCCAGACTTATCGAACTTAATATGAATCATTGCCTTACAGCCTTCCCTTGTGCTTGGTCGGGGCTTTCTGACAGGGCCAAATTTACCTCGAATACTAACACAATAACCCTCCTTATTACATCCAAGCCGACGAGCAAGAATCCTCCCATCTCTTTCAGATCGACGGCAAGACATCACACGCATAACAAAGCCTACCCGCCGTGCATATTCGTCATAAAATATCTTGGCAGCATCTTCAGATTCAAACTCCATACCTTCATGTGGTTCTACAATTGAGTCTCCTTCACAAGGAACTGCCACTGTCTCCCCTCCTGTAAAGCTCTCTATTGCTTCAGCACCCTCATCCAAATCCACTGCCACACAATAAGATTGAACATTATTCATAAAAATTTTGAAAAAAAAAAAGAAGAGAAGATATAAAATACAAATTTATATCCTCTACAAGAGGAAAATGAGAACTGTTGCTCATAACAGCAATTCAAGATAGTAAAGTACATTACAAAACATTCATTTTAAGCAGTTCAAAAAGTTCTTAAACACAAAAAACAACAACAACAAACTAAGGCTTTTCCTACTATGTGCAGACTACTATATGGGTCACATTGCACCACTGTGCCAATGTCCAATATCAAAAAAAGAAAATTCAAAGGGACCAACACAACTAAATTGAACGCCTTCAACGAGACACTTCAACTGTTAGAACGTGAGGCTCCAACTTCAAATTCCATGCTCGAATCCTACTAAGAGGAGGGCAGGGTTTATGGGATGGGAAAGCACCATGTCCTATCGTGTAACTCATATATTATTTCAACGTCATCCCTTTTAATAATTCATCAACTAGGGAAGAGCAGATATTATTTAAGGACTCTTCAATAAACAACAGATTTCCTGTAAACCTCAAATAAGAAACTGGAAGTTAAACCAATCAAAAACTGGAAATTTCTATTAAATTCCAATAAAAGTTAGACGCATGGGGAAACAAATTCAAACCCATTATAGTCAAATCAAATCCGTCCTTATACTAAATTCACAGCATATTTGAATGGAAAATTAAGCCAAATTAACCAAAGGCGTCAACGGAAACAGAGGAGAAAAGCACATGAGGAAAGAAGTCGCTACTTACTTGGTTTAGAGGATGGAATAAGGGAAACGAAGATCTTTCTTCCGTGTCTGTTCTATCCAGAGGAAGAGTAAGGAGTAGGGCGACTAAACTGGGTTGCTAAAGATAATTTTGGAGAACGTTCAAAATATTAAAGGAATTGAGGGGATTTAATTTTAAGGAATTTGTAGCGGAAGTGAAATCAGTTGATGCCACGTGCATAAAACTGAAGGGAAAGAAGAATTTGGGAACTTTTTCATTTTTTTAACTTACTTATATTTAATAATTTACTTACTGAAATTAAAAAATTTCTAGTATTTTACTTTTATTTCAGATTTTCAAAATTTTTTATTTTTGATTAATACAATGAACTTCAAAATTTATTTTAATTCAAAATTTAATTTTAAGTTTGTATCTATTTAAATATTGATGTCATTTTTAAAAAATAAATAACATGTATCAACCATTAAATCAAATATTTATATATATATTTATAATTTATTTATTTAACAAATAAGTTCGGACGTTCAGATAGATATTCATATCATTTTCAACTAAGTCTAAAAAATAATTACAATTGATTTCAAGTATTATAGAATGTATTTTTAATCAAAGTCAAATTCAAATACCATAAAATAAAATTATAAGTCCTTAAGGCTCTACTCATTGATATATTGATAAGAGTAAGTATTTGATGGGTTCGATTTTAAAATTTCGAAAACTGAATTAATTGAACCCTCATAAAAAATCAACTTAATTGTACCTTAAAAACAAAAAAAAATAAAAACTAATTTATTTTGATTGATTCTAATTATTAATAATGTTAAAAATATTTATATATTAAAAATACATTTAAAAATTATTGCTTAATGTTTCAATAATATGTCTTTAATAAAATCTAAATGTGTTTAATTAATTACATATATTTTTTTAAAATATTAATGATATTTATATATATATAACATTTAAAAATAATAATTTTAATAGTCGATTTTTTATCGATTTAGTTATAAATTTTAGACAATGAAAATCGATCAAAACAATAAAATAAACCGTCATTTCTAATTGATTAATACCAAAATTGAAAAACTAAACGAAATTAACCAAATTCGATCAGTTTCAATCAAACCCTAACACTATCCCATCTAAGAATTTGAATCCTAAACTTTCAAAATATTCTTAATAGCTGGGATGCCCCATAGGGAATGAACAATTGCCAAAAATAAATAAACAAATAAGAAACAGACGAGCACAAATCACTGTCAATCTCACTTTTTCTTTTTGAGAACTTTTTTCATGCATAAGTGATTGTGTTGCAATCACAAGGTAAGGCTGAAACAATTCAGATTCTTTCGAGTTGTCCATTTGTCACATATGGAAATTTTAAGATTGTATGACCTTTTTCAATCCCAGTAAACAAGCATATCTAATCCGGAGGAAGAAATGGAAAATGGTACAAGCTGTACTCTCAATCAGATGAAGTTCATTTAAAGTTCCTGAGCTGTTCACAACCAAATACTGAGTCTGCTCTTCCTCCATTGGCCCAACACGGAGGAAAGGAAAACCTCTCTGGTGTTCATGGAATCTTTGCATCAAAATTTACTTTGGTGCCCGGCATTGTTTGGTATCCTTTCGATCCAAACTGAAGCATTGGCTTGAGGCAGACAATTCCCACTCCAGGCCAAGGTCAAAAGGGCATTCAACTAGTTTCAGACAAATTGTATTCGACCAGACAGTGTAAGCAATTCAATATGGCCAAATCTTACACGTAAAGAATCATTATTCATATCATCTTGCAACTGGTGGTGCTAGGCATAACAAAGTCTTAGTTTTAAGAGAAATGTTGCACAAATTTGTGTGAACTTGAGCAGTGACTGCATATATGCGGTATAAATATCTGATTCAACAATCCAACTGCACAAACCAACATCAACTTGGTTTACTTTCTGACACATAAAATCACGAAAAGTGTACACTGATTTACTATGCCCAGTTTAATGCTTGCTCAGGCCAACTTGTCAACCAACTTGATTGACACAAATGAGAAACTCTAATGAAGCATGAATGGCTTTGTTGGTCGCATGGCCAACCAAAGAATCCAGGTTAATTGTATCCAAATGTCGAGGTAAGGGGAAATCCGTTTTCGCATGAGCATCTCCTTGGTTAAAAAGTAATGATTAACGGAATGAGGTAAATTATCATCTTCACCATGTAAAGACCAAATTCATCAAGATGTCTCCCATCAGCTCTAAATTTGTCAGCAACAATCATTTTGCAAACAGCCTGATGCTTTTATTCAACTTGAGATATGGCAAACTTTAAAGAGGCCTAAAAACCAGATAAAGCTCAAATACAAGAGTAACAAAACAAAATTAGAGGACTACCCACTCCAAAGGCATCTCTGCCAAGTCAATCATCCAATCACAGATTAAACAGTACATGTGGTAAAGCAAGTTTTCCAATCTATTCCAAGTTATAGGTTGTTCTGAGACCAAGATTCATGCCAAAAGATTCTATGCCGTTTTAATAAATTGCATAGAAAAGCAAAATAGCAATTCATGGTTCAGCTGTATCCAATTTAAACTTACAGAAGAAATAAAATAATATATTTAGACAGAAGCAAAGTGATTCAAAATTTCAAATGCATGGGCACATAAATATATACATATATACATCCACAGTGAGAGGAGGAATGAAGAAGAAATGTCAGGCACCTTTCCATATCAAGGATCAGTGAAACAGCTACTTTTGGTGCTTTTGCCAGGCGACTGACCTTGTCCAATGTTCTATCTGAGGCCATAGACATTTTACATTCCTTCCTCCATTTACTCACTCTTGCGGTAGTCTGGTTTGAGACTAAAATATGTAACCGCCTGAATCACTTTAAAACACATTTTAAGTGGCATTCAATTAAAAGAGAAAGACATATGAAAACTTGCTAGAGTCTAGTAACTCACTTCTGGTTCTGAATAAGCCAGGCTTAACCCAGCTGACACCATACAAAGAACAATCTGCATTTAGTTCTGCTTTCTTGTTGCTTCATTTAGTTCTGCTTTCAGCTCGGATTATTAACCAATCATCTGTCAGTGGCTTTGTCAACTAAACTAGTGGTTCCATAAAAGACTTCATATTTTTCACATCTTCTTTTGATTCTGTATACTTTTGTGGTTTAAAAAGCTTCCACATCCCAACTGGATGCCGCCTTTGATGGCCAGCATCTCCCTCAAACCTCCCAAACATCTTTTCACATTCTGGATATGGCTTGACATACAAATTATAGAATCTAAGCCTACTTGGCCTTATCAAACTCTTCAACCCTATCTCAAAACCCAGTGCACCATTTGATTTCAAAAACTCTATGACATTGTATCGAGGAACAATCTGTTTGTCAAAATTCACACCCAGATACTCTGGAACCTCAACCAAGCAACCGACACCATACTTCATTCTGTTCACCAAGAAGTCAATCTTCATCTCAATCTCCTCAATCTCATATAAAATCAATCTTGGCTCTTTCCATAGGATCTTAAATGCTTCTCTACGAATCAACCCATGTTTGCACAAGCAATCAACTCTAAGCTTTACTTCCAATCCAGCTCTAAATTCTCCTTCACTTAAAATCCTGTCCTTAACGGGAACGCGACATTTCAGAGTCCTCAACAATCCCAAACACCTTGACATTTCCCCTAATGCCATGCCCAAAACTCTTGGATCCCTTACAATCTCCTTCCTAGCCTCATTGTCACTAAAACCCAATTCCACAAACTCCTCAAGCAATGGCTTCAACCTATTTCCAATATCAAATCCTAAAACCTCAGGAAACAAATAAAAAATCCTTTCAATCCCATATCTTGGAATCCCAATTCCTTCGAAAAATTCAATCTTTCTACAAATTTCATTTTCCTTCATCATGATTACCCTAGGAAACCCTTCTAAAACCCTAGTCAAAACCCCACCATTAAAACCCAAACCCTTCAAAGCACCAATACTCTTCAAAAACCCATCCGGGTCAATCTGAAATCGCCTTGAAAGTGCCAAAACATTGCTAATAACCAACGGGGAAATACCCAAGTTTCCAAATTTGGAAATCCCAATTTGCCATTTCTTCAAAAAGTTAGAGTCCAAAACTGCTGGACAGTCAGAGAGTAAAGAAATAAGGGAATTCTGGGGAATTTTGAAAGATAAAAGAATGTTTAGAGAGTTTTGAATGTCATGCAAATCGGAATGATTGAGTAACGAATGGTTTCTTGCAAGGAAAGCGTGGAGTTGAGAAGGTGGGAAACCGCACCTTTGGAGGAGATTGGCAAGAGAAATCTGGTACCTGTATTGGGGAACTTTGGGAGGAACTGTGGAAAAGAATTGGATTGACGAGAGACGACACTTGAAAGTAGTGGCTTTGGTTAAGGAAGTGACGGCCATTGTTTTTCTTCACCCGACACTCTAATGTTCAGTCTTCCAAGTATATTTGAACATGCAGCTTTTCTTCCTAAACCATGTTATGTTATATTAATTAATTTAATTAAAATAATTCTATTTATAAATTACTCAAATAAAATTATTATTCTAGTAATCATCAACCTTAGTAAACATGTTTATATATAGTTTTTTAAATAATTATTTGTTACTTTTTAAAATTAATTACCATATTCTATCATAATTTTATGCACATAATTTTTTAAGATTTACCACCTTAATAAAAGTTGTTTTATATCAAAATAGAATGAGGACTCTCTCTTAATCAATAAAAACATTTTTCAGTGACAAAAAAATAAAACAAATGAAATTTGATAAAAAAAATAAACAAAGTGTAACACAGAAAATTCACACCTCTAAATCATACACTAATGTAAATATAAATATAAAAATATATGCATATATATATATGAATAAAATATAATAACTTTTAAGAAGTTAAATATAATGTCACGAATACGAATATTGAATTTATAAATAAAATTTTTTTATCTGATAAATATATATTTTTAAATTAAAAATGTAAATCCATAAGGATAACAATTGGCCGGAGAGTGTGAGTTTTTTTTTTTGGTAAAGGGGAAATTTCATATGAAAAAAAAATGTATGTATTTATAGGATTTGATGTCGACCGTCAGATCTTAACCCACATAAACTCTCTCTCTTTTCTCACTCTCTCAAAAGGTCTGTCCCTGTCTCAGAAACAGAAGCTCAAAAGTTACTCTCAAAGACGAAACGAAGCAGCTCAAAGATCATAAAAGCAAGCCCTGTTCTCCACTCGCTTTTTTATTAGAACCGTGAGTTTCTTTTCTTCTCCCTGTTTTTCATTTCTGGGTTATACTTTCTTATGGCAGTTACAGATTCATTTAACCTTGAGCTTCTTCTTTTGTTTTTTATTTTCCTCTTACCTTTTTTATGGTTGGGAAATTTAGACACCATATTTTGAGTAATTGATGAACTGGGTTTGATCTGAATTCTTGAGAAAGTAAGACAAAATTTGACTTTTCGACTTGAAAATAAATGCATTTACATGTATAATTGACATGGGCAAACATAAAAATGAAAAAAAGAAGAAGAAGGAAGTGGTGGTCCTAAGTTGAGAAAATCCCCTCACTGGCCCTACTTTTAGCTGGGTACTAGAAGAGATTTTTGAGTCCTTGAACAGGGAGCTCTCATTTAAGTATTATGTTGGAATCATAATTTGGGGTGTGCCTTTTTCCTTTCCCTTCTGTTTTATTTATTTATTTATTTTGGTTATTTAACCTGCTTGATCTGTCATTTATATTTTGAAACTTATGAGGGAGCATGATGGAGTGGAATTAGATTTTTTATGAAAGACAAAGAAGTGGGAAAAAACTATTTTGCTCTTACTCTTCACGTTTTTGCTACCGATGTTTATTGATTTTTTTAACAGAGAGATAAAAACCAATTTAATTTGAAGAAAATTTGGGTCTATTTCCAGTGGATAGTAGATAAAATCCATTTAATTTTTGTTGCAAAAATGGTGTTAACAACTTTATTGGACACGTATTGACACCTCAAAGAATTGAATGAACCTGTATCAGACACATATTCATGTCTGACAGTAAGAGTCCAAGTGACATTGGGGATATGCATTGACTTACCAGAAAATAGGTGATGAACTGATGGGATAGTGTATACTTTGAGAAGTAGATATAATTGTTACTATCTTTTGGACTTGCAGGAAGAATGGCAGGGACTGCTGATCCACATGATTTTTCAGATAGTGATAGAAGCTCAGAGGATGAAGCTGCTGTTAACATTTCTGAGTATGAAGGGATGGGGCCAGAACTATTGCAGGGGCATAATGTAGTGAATAATGAGTTCATTTCGTTAGAACAATCTGGTGAAGCTTTGGATATAGGAAACTTGGAGCCATACAATGGGATGACTTTCCAATCCCTAGATGATGCAAGGGATTTTTATTTTGAATATGCTAAGCGCACTGGTTTCACCATACGAACGAATCGAATCCGACACTCACTAAAGAACATGGCTATAATTGGACGGGATTTTGTTTGTTCTAGAGAAGGTTTTCGAGCAGCAAAGCATACACATAGAAGAGACAGGGTTCTTCCTCCAAGGCCAATTACAAGAGAAGGTTGCAAAGCAATGATAAGGCTGGCTGCAAGGGATGGAGGTAAATGGATTGTTACCAAATTTGTACGAGAGCATAACCACAAGCTAATGACACATTGCAAATTTCCGGGGGAACTGCCAACTATTAATATGCTCAGTGAGGTAAGTCTCAGATACTTGATGTGCTCTACTGGGTTGATTTAACTACCACCATTATTATCATAATTAGGGTTTAGATCTTGGTGTGGCACTAAATTACAGACATGCAGAGGTGTCTGATTTGAAGTTGATGTTTCATAGCATCAGTACCTGTTATCATGACTCATGATTTCCCTGAAGCAGATTTCTGAAATAGCATCCTCGACTAATTTAATGACTTGGTGATTGACAGGGCAATCTGTTTGTTGATTTTGCCAATGCCGGAATTTTTTTCCCTTTGAAACATTTTTATTCTTGGAAAGCTTATGCAAATGACAATTGTAATATGAGAGTTTAATACCAAATCCTCAGTCTGTTTTGAACCAAAACTCTATGCTGAGGAACTCTGTTTGCCTCTCAAAAGTTTTGTGAAGAACTCTGTCCATTGTGGTACATGCAGGTTCTTATATGGTTTGTGGACCAAGGCATTAGCCATAGTAAAGGGTAGCATTCTAATATTGCATTTTAGCTACGGTAATGGCAGATGGGTCTTGATACCTATAATGTTTGTCTAGAGTGGGATTTTTTTGTTCAATAAATTGAGCTGTGCCCAGGGAAGTTGCAAACTGTATAGAAGTTTCCCCAAAAGTAGCCTGTATGCTAGTCCAGAGTTGAATCTTCATCTTTTCCCATTGTTGTTTATGCATTACATTTGGGTTCAAACAATTATGGAGAAGTTTATATTAAAAAATGAAAAAAGAAAGAACCTATTGAAACGTGATGTTTGTCAACTTGCTTAAGTTTTGCTGCATTTAGTTGCACAATTTTACCTCCACTATGGTTCTACTAAATTAGGCTTTTGCTCACACTTTACTGACTCTTATTGCAGTTGTCAGTGCAATTGCCTACACTAGCCTCTGGGGTAGGTCCTGGTGGAGAAGTTATGGAGACCTTTTAAAACTTTGTTGTTGATTTACTTAATGTAACATTTTCTGCTATTTTGGGCTTTGATGGTGTTTCAAAATGCACCCTTGGAATCTGGATGTCTAAACTCAAACTCTTGGTAGATCTTTTGCACATCCTGTCTCATATTCCTCCCCCCACCTAAAAATAAAATTAATAACGACTAGTGTTTTCTAACTTTCAGTGATGAAGAAGTGGTGTTAACACCCCTACTGTGCTTGCAATTTTCTATTTGAGCTTGTTTAAGCTCATTTATTTAACTAATAAATAGTTTTGAGCATAAGTTTTAGACTTGTT